ATCGGTGGACACAGAGCTGCACGAGAAAATGATACTTCCCGGTTTCTCCGTCCGTGGAAAGGGGTTTGTTTCAGGTACCCCACTGAGCCTTTGACTCAAAAGTATAACGAGGCAATGGGAAGATGTAGGGTTTTGTTCGGAGACCCTGTACCCAGACCGCCTCGTAGCAAGATTGCCCGCAGTACAGGTCTCGCTGATCTTGGTCTGACTTCTACCTTTTGGCCTTTCTTGCATTGTTACATCTTGTGGAACTAATTTCCAGCCAACGTAGCCCGCGGGATCATTGCAATACTCAAGCCCAACCACCATTTCAAGGTGGCAGTTTTAGATCGGGCCAGGCAAGGACTGCTCAGAAGTTACTTCATTTGCCTCGATAAATGACAGTTCTACGAAAATATTTTCTTGGGAGACCACTTCAGAAGGTCACCCGACAGTCATTTTTGATGGGAAGAGATTCGCTGTCAAATTTGCGCTTCGATACCCCCTCACCAATAGAAGGCTCAGAACCAATTGAGAATATTAACAATGAGGTCTCACACAATTTCTGGCCCTAACGAGAGCACCTGCTGCGATCCCAGTCAGCGGTTGTAAGGTGGCGTCTTCCTAATGCGTTTGTACAACCTTTACCAGTGTGTTTGCGTCCATGGGGGATGAAGGAGTCTTTATAAGGTGTCATGCGTTCTACTACAGGTGTTACAGAGATGTTTTGCGGCATTATTGCGCTAGCTTCAGTGTATTATTGAATTACTGCTAACATTTTAGGTACGTAGATCAGAATTCGCTTGTGCCGTCCGTTAAGACCATTCCATCTTAGGGCTATTCTTCGCGCGTGTCCTCTGTTAGGGTCACCCATTTAATCATTCACGCGTCACCAATTTAACTAGATTGAAAACGTCATAAGACCGCTGGCACGATATTTTATATTTGATATATATATTTTATTTAATATATTTCGATGTTTTGTTCTATCGGACATCTGAGGAAATTTGATGGTGAAACACCGATCCAACTCACTTCCCTGGCAACCCCCTCCACACACACACATTCCAACTTTGCTAAAGCTAATGGTTCAGCTGCTGGTGATTCATCTGTGGTAATGTCCTCTATGCATTACCCAAAGAGTATGATCTACTGGATACTTGGTTAAGATTTTGTTTCCCAGACAAACCAAAATGTCAGTAAGCAGTGGTCGCGTGTGGATCCCATCGTAATCCAGTCTGCTTGCTTCTACGTGAGAAACTCAGGTAAAGCTACTAGCAGACACAGTGTATAACAAAACTCCAAAGACAGCAGTCCGCAAATGCACATCCCTGTTATTGGCTCTACATAGCCACAGGGGCACCAGATCATTTTGTAGGCTTGACACTAGTATAGAAAATTTTTACTTTAATATTATAATAGTGTACCACCTTTTAGCGAATCCAGTCCTAAGGCACTCGAATAGACGGGGACAGAATGCATTGCCGTCTCATACTGATCCCGGTATCCTTCTTCTCGCAGGTGCCAGACTTTCGACGGAGACGCTGATTTTAATCCTGGCCGTACTGTCCCTTTCAATGGCCGCCAACCTCTTACTTTGCATCTGCTGTAGTGTGGTAAAACGTTACATACGTAAGTTTCCAATTCCTAGCTATCCATCACCTGGAGAGTTTCATAATAATAGGAGACTTTCAGTTTAGGGAAATAATTATACTACTATATTTGAAGTAAAAAACTTATGTGAGTGTCGGAATATCCGGAAGTTGGGTCTTTCCAACTGTACGTCATAACCGTACAATACTGTGAAAAACTCTTTTTCTATTACACTAGCTATGCCAGTGTGTCGAGGCTGAGGTATTCTATTAGTATGATGGACCGAACCACTCTCGTCAAAACAATACACTGAATCTGAGTTACGTCTGTTCGGTGATTTCGCTAATACAATGCAAAACAGGACTTCCAGTCGGCACCAAAACACTCAAACGAGTGGGTTCTCTATATCTGGTGTCAAAAAGGAATATTTGATCATCCCAGGAGGCGACTGGTACAGTAGCCCTTAAATGTGCGCGGATTTTGATATCCAAATAAAAACTGCGCGGTAACACCAGGTATTCACTGACCAGTTATTCCTGACCGCCAACAGAGCACTATCATTAATCACTGTGGCTAAATCCGCGTGCAAATATCAACAGACAGTGCATTTCTGGCAGTCTGGTTGTCGAATTAACACCAATTGATACCTTGATTAGATTGTGCCTGAACCAGAGGATGGAACAATATTTTGTATGCGATCTGCTCCACTTTTCATTCAATACTCTGCCTTGGTAATGTTTCCAGCCGAGCCCTCGCCTCAGGTAATCGGGTATAAAAAACGGAATGTTTCCTGCAGTTGTGTGTACTTTAAGAGCCCTTTTCAAATACGCGGAATGCCAAAATTATTTGCTTCTATCTTTCAGAATATATCACATACAAATAATACGAGGGCGTAAAGAGCACTTTTGAATTGCCCCCCAAACTTTACTTCACTTTATGTGTTCAATAAAACTGGTATGATTTCCACAAGTGAACGATAAAAACATTTCAAGCCCCGGTTATAAGAATCATTTTGCAGACGGTAAAGGACAATTCGATTACAGGGAGAATGCAAAAGTACGCCTAACAGAAACTCGCCAAAAAGAAACTTTTACAGCAGTGTGGCTCGGGCATCGGAGTTAATGGTCGATTTGACCCCCAAATCCAGTGATGTAGTATATATTCTCATTTGTACCTGACACTTGGACAGCGTACCCACAATTCATGCAACCATTCTTCATACCAAACCACGTTTTTTATACCTGGCTTGGCTTCAGCCAAGAAAGTATAATAATACTACTAACTATCTGGCTGTAAAACCCTTCCGGTGCCACTCCAAAAGGAAGAAGCACGTGGGCTGAGATACTGTCAGGTTGCTCAGACCTAGGAGTGTTCGAGATGCAGATGTTGGGTTCGAACCACGAACATTCCGGTCGGTAAATTCGCGCCATCTCACCCCCCCCCCACACACACACACTTCAATTACAGAACAAATCTCAATTGAAAATAAAATTGAAATTAGAAATATAAAATTAATTTATGATGGCTCTCAAAGTATAGATAATAATAATAATAGTTCAGCTCTAGCACTCTTTCGGTGCCCAGTTGCCATGTTAGCTGAAGGAAACACGAGGGCTGAGATACTGCCATGTTGCTCAGACCTAGAAAGTAGTCGAGGTGCATATATTGGGTTCTAACTTGCGAACCTTCCGGTCGGTAATTTCGAGCCCCAACCACTTACCTATTTCGCATCCAAGACTAAGATGTCTTCTAAAACCGCAAAAAAAACACGAAAACTTGTTTAAGTTAGGCGACAATGAATCAGGTTTGTTTTAAACATGACAATACAATGAAACTAGCTGGACGATTCTCGGAAACCATGTTAGCGGGTCACCAACACTCGATAGTCGATACAGAATCTCACCGTTACATGCTGTATATTTTGTTCTACCGATCCTCTAACAGACGCAGCCTTAGAACATTACTTTTTTGGCTCACATCGAAGATTCCGCCGGCAAATCTGAGTTATTCGAAGATGTTGCATCCTGAAGTGACTAATCTGGTCACCGACCTGTGTTTATTTCTTATCCTCGTGTCTCCGCCTGGTCTATCTCAGCCATGGCGTTTGCATCTTGGTCTGCTAAACTAAGAAAAAAGAATGTCCGATTTTTTCTAAGACGATTTAAAAGTCTAAATGGTCGTTGCTCAAGAAGGTTTCGTTCGATCTTATAGCATAAGAAATAACCTCATGTATGGATATTAGAAATATTCTGTATGCAGCGATTTCCACCAGGAAGAAATGGTGTAATCTAGCTATCGTTCCATCTGTCAGGAGGTCCCATATTGTTACATTGTATTGATGGGAGATTTGGTACCAACTAACAGGAACTTCGTTCTGTTAGTGAAGCCAATCGATGCTGACAAGCTGAGAAGCACTGTTCACCTCTTTCATTCACGTTGCGAATCACCTCAACACTGTGCACCTCACGAAACTCAGAAATTTTCGAGTTCGCAACCTTCTGGCCAGTGGTCGGACACCATTTGTCAAGTCTCCTCGCATTACCATGAAACAATGGGCGGCTGAGAGGAAGGATAAGTTCACTGTATTTGTGAAACTTCGGAGGAGTCACCACATGCGACCACGTGATGCAGCTTCTGTGATTGGACGAGAAGTGCCACTATGTCCTCTCTAAGTGAGGACTAATCACACTGATTTTTAGCTACTCATGGCCAGACGGATATATCTCCAGTTGCACAGTTTAGAAAAATCGTTGTTCCTGTAAACTAAAAGTGACAGATGAAGAATTTTGATATATAATTCGCAAAACGTACTCATGTGCATTCAACACTTGGCTTAAGGTTGCCAGTAAGTCGACTCAACCCTAAGACTACAGACAGAATTATGAGACGGAATTAAACACACTCGTTCCCCCTTTAACATTCACCCGCAGTGCATGTGACCAGAAGACGGATCATCATTCCTGTCTTCATTTGACAGCCTCAGTCGGTTGGAGAATGAATGTCTCTGTTCTGTTTAAGCCCACAAAACGTGTCAATCGAATCCAAACTTACAACTGTGGTGATGATACTACTCACAGCATGTGAGTTTCATTTTGATTGTGCATGTTCATTCATGCAACCTAGATTAAAACTTCGGTACCAGTTAGAGTCAAATCCCCTCCGACTATTGAATTTCGAGCACCACTGCTAAATCCATAAAAATTCAGAACCTGTTGTCCCCTATCCACCTCCCGTTACGATACGAAGTTCATACGGGACGGAGCAAATAACTTTCAGCCAGAGCACTAATTTTAAAGTTCTGCCAATCCAAGTAGTGTGAAATTGTTTCATGAATGTTTCTTCAAAATAAGAAGTATCCACAGAATGGTTTATATTTCTTTCGCAAGTGAGTTCTCATTTTCCCTTCGGCTGTCTTGTCATATTTCTAGGAAACTTACGCAAAGGAGAGCCACGCGACTTCTGCCTCGATCACATGCTATGCCTGAGAATGTCAAGACCACCTAGAGGGCATTTATGTGCAGAGTACAATCTACTTCGGGAACCAGCATCCTATTGCCATGGCACAGGTTTTTCCACTGTTGTCAACCCTTCCTCCCCAATCTTCGTACAACACCATTTGAGAGGTCAGTCGAACGCTCTTCTACCGCTCAGTCCTCTAACAGTACGAAATTTCTTCCCAATGAGTCCGCGTCCTACCCCAAAATATCAACATGAAACTGTTTATGACGAGGTACACAATTCGGTTTACACAACGCTGAACTCACCTGCAAGAGTGGAACAGCCTAAACAGGTTAGTTCACTGTACTTTCTATCCATCAATCGACCGTGAAATCCTCCTGGAGCTGATAGACAACAGGCTTTTTGGTTATATCTAATACGAGCACATCTGTCTAGCCTTTTTCGTAACTGGTCGGGGTCACAAATCTATACAGAACAAAAACATCCTCACCCATATCGAACTGATAACACTGAACCAGAACACAATGAAACACGTATTATGCAGTTGCTGACTCGTTACCATGGCGTGATAAACTTTCCGTTCGTTTTCTTGAGACCATCTGATGGCACTGCACTGCGTCGTGAATAAGTTTAGCTTGTCGTAAAAACATTTTTGGCAGACAGAGATGACTTAGATTGGATCCATGTACTGCTTTTTTAATACATATACAGCTTGCTCACAATAGAACACAATGAAACACGTATTATGCAGTTGCTGACTCGTTACCATGGCGTGATAAACTTTCCGTTCGTTTTCTTGAGACCATCTGATGGCACTGCACTGCGTCGTGAATAAGTTTAGCTTGTCGTAAAAACATTTTTGGCAGACAGAGATGACTTAGATTGGATCCATGTACTGCTTTTTTAATACATATACAGCTTGTCTCACAATAGACGCAAAAAATAATACCCATGTTGAAACTTTAACACCGATTCAAAAATTTATCATTTTTATGTAAACGCATATACATTAAGGAGGCTTATTGTAAATAAACTTTCACCACAAAAGATGCTGGAAAAAACCGCCCCTTTCTTCTATAACAGGTTGGAGACGGTATAAGTTGTGAGACAGCATGTTTAACTTCTTCAAGCGTCACTCGTGCACACTCCTCTTCAATCCTTGCTCTTAACTCCACTAAATTCTTCGGTTTATTTTCATGATATACGCGAGCCTTGATCATTCCCCAAAACCAATAATCCAGAGGTGTGAGATCGGGTGACCTTGCGGGCCAAAAGTTTGGAAATCCACGAGCAATGACTCTCTCATCAGAACATTACTCTTGGAGGTAAGTTCTCACTTGGTTTGAGTAGTGGGGTGGAGCGCCATGTTATTGAAAGACGGTCGATGACTTCTTGTGCTGCTTGAGTTGCGGGATAACATGCTTCTGCAGCATATGGAGGTTACTGTTGCCGGAAACCGTAGCACCAAAGAAAAAAGGATGCAGGAGACACTTTGAGGAAAATCCCATCCACACACAGAGATGAGGATAATGGGATTTATAGGTGAGGTACTCGTGAGGAGCTTCACTGGACCATATCATACAGTTGTGCTTGTTGAATATGCCATCCACAGAAGAATGTGCTTCGTCGCTCCATAAAGTGTTGGGAACGATTTCTTCATTGTCCAACAGCCAGTTAGCGAAAATGACACGTTGCTTCTTCTTTTCTCCCGTGATGTTATGTTATAAAGTGAAATGGTACGGGTAGGGATGAAGGTGACGTCGCATAATACGATGCACGCTGGCGCGGGGAATGCCGGTCAGCTGAGACACCTGAGTTATTGACAAAGATACCAAGGTGCTCTAAGACTGGAGTTGCTCGGAGGAATTCTGTACAGTGAGCGCTCTTTAATCACTCAGATACTTTCTCCATTTGCCAGGAAAATCCAATACAGATCCAGTGGACTTAAATTTCGCAATCAAGCGTGTAATGGTCGACACGGTGAAAGGATCTTTGATGAGACCATGTTTGGTTTTGTAACCACGAAATGCAGCGGTGACGCTTTCACCAAGGGAATAATAGAGTTTCACAATTTCAATGCCCGTAATGACAAACATCGTAAAAAAAATTTCAACACTTGCACGCAAAACATCATTTATGTGGCCACAAAAAAGAAAAACCTTGTTATCTTTTCTTTAACTGGCTACGTTGATTTAACTCATCAAATTTTACGTCTATTATGAGACACCCTGTATATAGGGCTCGATCTTCTAGCGGATGGTTGATGATGACCACTCAGTTGCATCCTACTCATGAGACTGATGAAACGTGTGTTACTTTCTTATGTGTAAGCCAATTCGCCCCCAACCCATGGCATTCGTTTGGCCTTGTTGTGAAAGCTGTCCTGCCACGCCATAATCCCAATGAAGTACCCTGTACCGAGTGACTTTATCGTGTAATAGTTCCAACAAATCCCCTCTAGTACTTTAGAAAGACATATATAACCACTGTAATAGGGCACCAAATAGTACAAATCGGAGTCAAACCCCTTTTGTATGAGGAGTTTACAGTTCTCCTCAAGCTTTCACACTTACATTGCTTCGTTTCATTTATTTTCGGCTTTAGGTCACGTCCACTCCAAAATTTGAAACGCTGGACGGGCGGCGCTGGATTCTGGATCCAAGCAGTCAATTCTATTTACCATACGCAGACTCTACAACCCCTCCTGCGACGGCCACAAATGATCGGTTTCCCTCCCAAGATAGACACAGTCAACGTCTCCCTCCACCACCTTTGGGTGAATCGTTGTTGCTGGAAGCTGAGGAACAGCAGAGTAGCTCAGTGTCCAAAGAACAAAACCCAGGAGGATGTATAAGTCCCAGAGGATTCGTTGCTCACCAAACATCAGCAGTCCAGCTAAAATCAAAGCCAGCACCACTGGAAGAAGAGACAAACACTCAATTTGGTCCCCCTTGGATTCCAAAACCAACAATCGAGGTATAACTTAAAGATTGACTGTATTTTTAACCTGAACAGCTCACTTGTTGTAAATAACCAGATTCCTTAAAGTCAAAACTTGTTACTGTGGTATGCGCCCTGGAAATCACACTTTTTCACCCAGACAGATGATATACGTTTGCGAAATTCCAGAGCCTATCCTTCGTAGCTCTTGCTATCTGCGCCAACGACTCTATTCATACCTACTAACTATAGTAGGTATGAACTAGTAGTAACTAGGTAGTAACTATAGTGAGTCTATTCTACTGTAGTTCCCTTGACACGGATACCTGTGAAACCAAGTAGGATTTTCCATATTTTCATTCCCACATAAAGGGTTCGTTCTCCGCTCTATGGCATGACCACCTGATGGCCGCGGATGGTAACGACTCCGCGTATTAGGCCATAGAGGATAAAGACTGTTCTCCTGCTAAAATTCTCCCGTATAACAGTCGTTCCAGATTATGAACTACGTGCTCTAGGTTATCTTTATGCCAATCAGTTATAATCAAAAACAGTCATTCGACGATAATCAGTGATACTCAATCAACTAATTGTTTGATGGTGTTTGTATATCGATGACTCGCTGGTGTATAGTGCACGAGGACAAGCACCTAGATTTCTATTTTTTACATGACTTCTAACAGTATCTTCGTGGAAAATGTGCTAAGAAATGCGACGCATTAACGTCTACAATAGAAAGATGTGTCAGATGATGAATTTCAGAGGTTGGACAAAATGAAATGATAAATCAAGGGATCAAAGTGGGGATCGAGTGAGCCTGAATGTTATTACTCTGCACCATTCTACAGGAGGGGTTTTTTGTCGCAAAAACACCAACTAAACAGTTACAGACAGGAAAGTAATACTCTCATGTGCACCCTGCTTTTTAAAAAAAACTGAATATCCCCCTTCTTCTTGAACAAGTCTTCTTGAAATTTTCTCGATATTCATTGACAGTCAGGCAACTGTAAATGAATGCTGCAAAGCAGTTCCGCAAATTCCGTAATAAATCCCAACTTCTATTAGATCAAAGCGGAATTATGAGAAAATCACATGCTACTTACGTGGCTCGTCAGTAGTATCCGCCGCTACACATGTAATCAGCGACGGTTTTCAGCCGAAATCGATCATTTATCGCCGTGTTACAGTAAGTTTGAAGACTGTTAAACATAATACACTTTTAGATGGTTAGATAAACCTGACTCCATTTAGCTCCTAGATTGTATTCCCGTTCAACACGCTCATGCACTTCTTCATACAGTTCTGCACCCATTTTGAAGATCTCGTGTGCTAAATGCTTTCCAGAACATGCACATTCGTGGATCAAACTTCTCCTCTGAACCTGCATCCCAATGGACTAAGTTGCCTGCATGAAACAGACTGCTCGCTCGAGTTGGAAGTGCAAACTCACACCGAACTTCTTGAAACGAGTGATTCAATTGAGGATAGTTACCTCAGCAAAATGCACTAAAAATGGAAAGTGCTTTATTTGGAGAACAAACTCTTCTATCTACGCACGAGTGGCACCATTTCGCTCCGACATGTACATCAAATGTCACGCTAACCTTTTGTTAGAAAATGTGTTTTTTCACACCAGTTACCCATCCACGTAAAATGTCGAGCTATTGCTATTGATCCCCAAACTAGATTACGTTTATTTATAGCTGCATTCCATTTGCGCGATATGATAGTGAGTCTTTCTGTTGGTTGGTTGGTTTATACTTTCTGATCCCTGTTTTAGTAACTTTCGCTCTCTGTGTATCTCAGTGATCTATATCCTCAAGTTGGAAAATGCGTGCGCTAAATTTCGGTGCTTCACTGCCAAACAAGCAAAGGATTCCGCTTTTGTGAAAATATTTGGCCCGTATGGTGAAAAATCAAAGAGAATATGATTTTGGTTCGTCACACCAACACTCGATTGGACAATCTAGAGGTTGTAGTAGCTCAAAAACAGAATACTTTCACAAGACGAGTGAAACTTCCATCCGATGATTCGTCATTTTAGGAACCAGTCAACAAGCAATCACGTGACATCCGGTGTTTAAAGGATGGGTAGTGCTATGTCTTGTCTAATTGAGAGCCAATCACATTGCTGTTCGCCCACCACTGGTCGAGTGGTTAATTACATGACCGCTGACCTGAAGGTCGTGGATTCGAAACTCCCTGGAGTTTTGTGAAATCCATACGAATGATAATTCTCAGTATGGATGAAATGGTTATACAGTGGTTCTTGGATTTTTATCATAGATTGGCTTCATTTCTGGGACGAAATCTCAGTTGCGAATTCCAAACCTCAAACTGCCAATAAACTGGACTGAGACTGATCGTTCCGTAGCCAAGTCTGACTTCATACCTAGCAAGAAGAGTTACATTCTGGAAGGTGACCAGAACCAAAACTAACTTGTTTTTCACAAGTATCGTGTCACAGGTCCTGCAGTTGAGTCGCGCCAATTTTCCAAGGGCATTCCTGGAAATCCATTCAGTGAAGCTTAGCTGTTCTATGCCAAATAAGTAGCGGCTCATTCGACTGAAATTATTATTAGTCTAGGTCCTAAAAATCCTGAGGTTGATAAATGTCTGGGAATGCTGCAGCCTCAAACACATCACTTTTATGCTGCGGCTGGCTATACAATGTGGCCGGTATTTTGTACACATACCTAATCTAACTTCCTTGAACCTCGGTCTTACAAGTGCATTATCTGGATCACCGTTTTTTGGGCGTCTCTACCAACTGAGATTACACCAGTTACCCATCCACGTGTTTCCCCCCTTTAATTGACCTCGAGAACGATGACGCTTGTCTTGGCAGAGACTTGCGTGAATGGCCTTCCCCTTTTCTGACTTGCTCAGAACAGTTTGAAAACTTCATCTAGCCTTCAGGAATGCAAAATCCCGAGAAAGCGTTTCCAAACTAACATATGAAACACCGCCTGTTAAATTCGTGTACACCAATGTTCTAAAAACTTCAAACTCCGGATCTACGAACAAGGAAAGGCATCGCACAGATCAGTTAAGACTTTTTCAGTTTCATACAATACTATCACCTGTTTGATTTCCACATTTACTGAACTATTGTGTGGTTCATAACAAACATCAGCCATAAAAATCCCCCCTTCACCTTTGTTTTTGGACAGATAGTTCGAGCTCCATCATCCGATGACTCGCGCTCAACAGTAGAAATATCAGACGAAGCCGCGTATTCTTTCCCCGACCTTCGATTTCACCCACCAAACCCATTATCCTATGATCCCCGTCCACCTTCACGCAATGAATCGAGGGGGGAAGCTCCAACAATTGTTGCTCCCGTCGGATGTAATCAAGCACTCACGGGGGACTCACCAACAGAGCCACTCACATCAGTCTCCATTTACGAGCATTTGTGCGAGACACCAAAATTAGCCCAAGTAGCTTCTCCACTATATCTGGAAGACTGGACTATAAGTGAATCCACAGACCTTACATGACCCAATTTTGCTCGGAGACAATGCAAAAACCTGTTATCGTTTGCCTACGTAGGAGTTCTTAGTGTGCAACTCGTGTATATATATATGAATATATGCAATTTCACTTTCAGTTTCTCACCTGTTGCATCGGTTATGGTGATCCTATATCCAGAGGCTGCTACCAGATAGGAGGCAACCACTTATCGGGTGGTGTTGTATAAAAGTCAGAACGTGGATAGTTGTGCGATTTCCAAGACTTTGTATAACCTACATTACTAATTTGGTTTTCATGAGAGACAACTGAATCTCTCGTTTATGCTATTCTACAACTGCTTGTGCTGCAACGGTCGTGGGCTGTCGAAGAGTTTTCAGCAACCATGTGAGTAGATTCCTCTACGTTACTAGTATTAAAAGTAGGACCCACATCAGGATGCACATTGGAAGCGCATCGGAGAGAACACATGGAACCGATACAACTATTCAGACGGGTCATGGGAGAGCGGACCTCAAAACGGCACTCATCAGTTTATCTTAAGGTACTCCTTGCATCTAAAGATATTCCCTTTGCCCTAACTCCCTCACTATTGCCACTGCGTTGATGTCAAAAACATCTGCACTTACCAAACCATTCGTCCACCTCTAGAGAAATCACGTTCGCAGTATTAGCCAGTTTGCTTGGCAGTCGTTCTGTCAGTGAAGTCTGAAAAGCGGAGAATCACTTTACAGCTGTTTCATCCTTTTCGAGAATCAGCGGTCATAGGTATCTTACGAAACTCTAGGAGGGCATTTTGAAGCCATGTCCTCTCGCCTAGCTGTCTGAATGCTTAACTGTTAGCTGACGAGCGACTGATTATCACTGTTATCAAATCACCTCGCTAGGATGAAGCGCCAGTCGCCATTCAACCACAGAATCCACATGTGTTACCTGGCTCCTCTCCTCAGATGGACGTTTAGCGTGTTAGGTGAGCAATTTACAGGGGAATTTATAAAGCAATTTGTAGATTGGGACATGATTCTCCACAAGGTGTACAGCGTTCCTCGGCCTTTCATGGAGTGCCCTCAATTGCAGAATGAAATTTCAGATAAAATCTCCAAGCTTTCCTACGCTATTAGTAATCAATGTGTTGTTCAGTGGACGAATACCTTCACAAGACGAAAAAGTAGCACTTGAAGAGCCAATCAGCATGTGACCACGACATGTGGATCCGGTGACTGAAGGCCGAGTGGTGCTATATCATATCTAAGTGTAAGTTAATCACAGGTACTGTTTGTTCCGTTGCTCGTGTCCGAACAGTTAAATGTCCAGGCGGCTAACAGTAAGTTTTCAAGTTCGGAATTTCTACCAGAGTCTTGTGAGGCGCACACTGCTGATGAGGATAAAACTGTTGCACACTGTTTCTCTTCTTTTCAGCATGGAATGTCTGCACTAAGAGGATGAACTCTCAATGACTATACAGAACTGTATTGACCTGGCAGACACATCACTGTGTTCCTCATTTACAGCCACCGAACCTAAAAAAAAGTTCCTTAAGGTCCTTAAAAAGGCAAACCAACTGTACTCTCTACGTTTTGGCTGTCTGTTACACTTTCTAGTATGCATATCCCAGGGATCGATGACACCAGTGAAGTTATGCTAGTGATGCTTGCTCTTTATCCGACAGTCAATGGAGATCATTTACTCTAAAAGCACTAGCGAATCGCCCTGGAATCATACAAATGATTTAGTATGTGAGCGCATTGGTTGGAACAAATTTCTCAATTCCAAAGGCAAACGCAACTGTCAGTTCCATAGCCTGGGTCATCAATATTATTTGATGGGGAAACGAGAGATCGAGATAGCTCATTGGTTAAGGAGTCACCTTAAGGACCGGAGTGTCCGGGGTTCGAACCTAACCTTGAGCATCTCGACTGCTCCTGTCAAGGCTTGGGCTAATGATTGTTTCCAGCAATCAGTTGAGCCACGTGCAAGACCTCAGAAGCCAAATCATTCAAATCGAGGTTTATCAAAAAATGCGTGTGCTATGAATACAACAATAAGATAATAAAACTGCATAAACCTCAACCGTGGGACTACCCCAACTTCTATACACCAGTTTAGGAACTGGTAATTCGTAACGGAATCCCAAAGTCCACATCAACTCAAGGCAAGGTGGCTGCAAGCTAGCGAAGCCCACATGTTGATTTAAACAACATCGGTTCACGTCTAGGTCAGAAACGAGAACGGTGATTTAGGTGAAAAACTGGAAACAACAAATTGGGGAAACATGCTGTACACAACGAAAAAATAAAAAAAGAATCAACCTGGGTAACTTGGATGTACCCCAGCTTTCGCGCCTCCTCTCGCTGGCACGGCAGATAGGTACCGGAAGGGTGCTATAGATGAATGATTTGTTTCTTATGAGGAGATGAAGTATCAAATGGATTTGAAATCGTGCACTCCCTAACTTACCCTCCTATTCGCCTCGGGAAAGCATGAAAAATGGTGCAAACCAGAGTGTCACCACCGGGTGGCAACAGAAGACGGAACGTGGCACTGAGTTTAGCAATCATAATAAAATTATTTTGCTGAATTCATTCGCATTGGGGCATGGACTGGTTCGGTTAGTTCTGAACTGGTCTAACGAAAGTCGCTTGTTGTTCGAAACCAATCCTACTAGCGCAGTGTCCATAGGCCTGTCTGTGGTCTCAGAATTCACGTGAAACTTGGCATTTATTCGCCATACAGTAATAGGTAAAAAACTGGGAAAATAGCCCCAAAATTAGATGTTTGAATGACAATATCTGGCGTAGGGGAGATGGACATGAAATTTGTCGCTATAACGACACTACTCATGATAAGTCTCACTCTCGTTATGGCTCGTCAGGTAGGCACAATCCTCAGTTTTTCTCAACTTTAGGTTCTACTCGAACACCGAATTGTGAGCAGTTGACAAGCAGCTGGCACTCATTTGCAAACGGAAACTTGAGGCGGTGTTTATACAGCCTGCTCGTCTGAGGAATGCCATAAAAAGAGGGTTTTGGGGCTGACACTAACTTAATTTGTAAACAAGTGTACTTCTCAAATTATGTACAACCGAATGTTCAATAGGAACAAATGTTTGGCGACCATTCGGAAACTGTGCCTACCATGTTGGTGCCAAGAAGGGTAAACCCGTGGTGAGCTACTAAGACTTTCTCAGCAACCTTCCGAGTAGAGTGTTCTGTCAAGAAGGCATGTGAACAGTTTTGTTGTACTCCAATCCTGGATGACCCGGGAGCGTAGGCAAATGGCACACATAACCACCCTGCGTTGACGAAAGCCTTTTCTAACCTAATTATCCATTAGCCGATGTAGAACTCGGTCAGGTACAAAGCCACAGTGTTTCCGACAAAAAGCGAGCTGAAAACTTTGCACTTTCAGACAAAACAATCGATAGATGATAATATTCAAAATGGCTGCACAGAATGCGCAACTCCACTGATAAGACTGTCCAACGATTATTGAATTATTCACATTCACATCACTCGTTTGAACAGTCATCCTCGTGTGCTGGTGCAATTATTCTGGTGAATCCACACCAAAGAGGGGGGAAGCACCGGACTCGAGTTTCGCTCTTATTAGAGCGTTATTCAGTGGCGTTCCCTCTCAAACTACTGGGCATGACTCTGACGGCGTCAAATTTGTTAGTAGCCCTCAAGGAGAATGGCTATCTTGATAGACTTATTGAAATGGAATTCCTGAACCGGTCTTTAATCAAATGACCACCAGTTATTTTTAGGTCCTACGATTCCCTATCGTTAAGGAAGCCCATCGGCGTAGCGCTTCTCCGGCGGAGCTGGTGCGAAACACCGACCATTTCAACAGAGAACACAGTATACGATCTGATATTTGTTGAACAGACATGCTTTCCACGTCGGCGAACACCGTGTATAACATGAAAAATCAAACCAAACCGTCACTGTATGCGGCTCAATGTAAGCTCCCAAGCTGGCTTCGACGGAACGAGTGCGACAGACAGAAACTTGTTGCGTCTGCTAGGTTGGATTAATAGACGGGAACGCAAAAACAAAAGTCGACAAATACAGGAACCGCCGGAACATAAATGTTTGAAAGTGACTTTCTATGTCAATATGTCCGGGATAAACCACCTATCAGCACTCCGATGAAGGCTCTTCGCTTTTACAAAATGGAATTAAGGTTGAAATTGAAATATCGCCAGCTGAAATGGATTTCGTCAGGCCTGCGTTGAAGAGAGAACCTAAGTAAGGACTGACCCAAAATATGTACAGGATAGTCGAACAAAGAAACTATAGGTGTAGTTGTGCAATGGACATTTAGGATAACGAGGGATCGATGATAAATCGATCGGCCTAGAGCGACATTCGCTGCGTAAGCAAAAAGAAAGACAAACTTAACAAGTTAGACGTGCTGGATTCATTCGCGTCCGGGAAAAATAAAGGTCCACTTGAACACGGAGGAAATCATGGACAAGCAGACGAATTCAAGGATGTGGAGGGCATGCAACCGAGGAAAAGTTTACCGATTAACGTTTACCTTTCGTGCCGTTTGAGTGAGCCAGTGTCTTCAATCTTTCAGTGGCGTTCCCTCTCAATCATTGGGCGTCTCGAACAGCATCAGATCTGTTAGCAACCCTCAAACAAAATGTTTATTCTGGTAGATTTATCGACAGGAGATTCCTGAAAAAAGGGCCGACGATAATGACAGTGAAACAGAAATGGTTATTCATCTAATCGAGCTTTAAATGTGGTTTTAGTGAACCTATCAGTTGACATCTTTCGGTGGTCGCCAGTCAAAACTTACGTGCTCCAATATTAGTGGTTCATTGCAGCAGCCAGCTCACGACTATTCATCTTTTCAAGAAAAGGATACTTCGAGCAAGCACAAATGTGCCGGTGCATTCCAGTGTTTGTGTATTGCTGGTTGTACTGGTCGGATACCAAAAGGTCTACCTAAGAGAACCCGTTGAAACTTCCCAGTGCGAACGATTACCGGAAGAAGGAACAGAAAACGGTACCTCAGTAGTCAAACGTCTACTTTACGTAAATCATGTTTACGACCCCAGGTCAGCATCTCGAGTTGACTATCACGTGCCATTTGTGCAGTCACTAGGTCTTTAAATGCAGATGGTAAAAACAGCTGAGGCCGGCTTTACTACCTAGCTCTTTACAAAGAACAGCGAGGTTCTTCTTCAATCCCAAACAACCCTGTTCAACTCTATCAACTCGTCTAGCAGCCAGTTCGACAGCGTTTCGACTACATGATGACCAGTCGATGCGATATACATTCTGCACGTTGGTCATTATCTGAATACAGTCTTGGATCGATTTTCCGATCTTTGTTTTCGTGTACCCTATGTGATGAATCCGTAAACCAGCCCAATGATGTTTCTGCCAGATAGATAACTTTGTTCTTGTTGTGTCTTCCATCACAGTCATCCGCGAATTGTAGCATACGTGCACTGGACACGAGATGCAGTGATTTGGCCAGCAAATGCTCCAAAATGAAGACCCGGAATTGATCGAGCTTGGGGCGAGAACACAACCCCGCGGCACTTATGGACGGAATAGTGACACAGCTGGTATGGTAGCGCATAGGTCCACTTTTGGGCTATTATCTCAGGCAGACGTACTCAGCAAGAAGTCCGGAAGACCAACTTTTATTTTCATTAAGCCGAGTTTTTCGGTGAACTTTCAGAACGGTCCATTTATGAAATTCATGGCGTACATGCCTTGCGGCAAAAACCACGTTAATCATACTTTGACTGCCCGGAACTGTTCTTCTCCATGGTTGCATTGAATGGACAAGTGAACAAGATACAGGTCTGAAAGGAGCGGTGTGAAAAAAACCAAAGCACTTACTGATTATGGATACCGAATGTATGGGTGCAAAACTGTGTTGAATTGCGCCAGCAGTAGCTCAGTAAGCCTGTGAAAAAGAATGAACGCCTCCGGAGCATTCAATATATTTCTCAAAGCTGGAGTTTTTTCATCTCCCGTTCACCTTAGCCCAAAATCAGGTCCTCACAACCGACCAAAAGTTCCCATCTGTGTAGACAGGTCCACATGGATCAGTTAATTCGCATTTGCCCACTTCATCCATCATACTACTGTTTGACCAAAGAAGTCGGATGTGTATTCGAACTGCTGCCAAATGTATGTGATTATTCCCATTGTTCGGTCCCCAGTGGATCGATTTTTGTCCGGAGTCAATTGTGTATTCTATTGAAGGCAACCCTCGGAAAACCAACGCCGTTATTGTTGCCCAACTGTTTTCAAGCAGAATGTAAACGCACGTCATTCACGCACGAGACCACAAATTGCGTTTTCAAGTGATGGATGTTTCGGATTACACAGGGCTCCAAAATAACCCGTCATTTTGTAATTGGATTTGACCAACTGTGCGTGTACACCCACATCCACACAGCCACACACAGGTAACCGTGTGCAATTCCAACGACCTAACTAGCCTCAGTCGACCCCACTAGCCAGTCACCACGCCAGTTTGTTAAACCAGCAACCTGGGCCGTGGGTACACCCGCGCACACACGTTGAAACAACACACTGTCAGAATCCGATAGCCGGCCGCATGGCTCCCCTGCTGTTTTGTGTGTAGTTCCTAGAAGTTACTAGCTGCGCCTTCTTGACCGACATAGGAACAGTCACAAAGCATTGACGTATACCTTACCCAGGTGTTAACATGCAACATCCCGGTTTGACCGTCGCAGGTGTGCCGGCCAAACTGATGCGTATTAACATGGATGACACACTAGGCAGCCAACCTATCAGCGAAGGCGTACGTGCATCCACGCGGAAAACGCTGGGCGACATGCACAAATCCAGACGACGGAATGCATATTAGTTGGGATTTGGCCTGGCAGCTTCGTTCGGTCCCAGTAACCGGGTCTAGTTTTGTGTGCAGCTTCAATCGATAAGATATCCCTAGCAAATTCCCTCAATTGGATACTATTTGAAACTCCGGAGGATTCTATTAACAGCGCCTCCTTGATATTATTTCTGAGCGGGAGGAAATGGCGCGGCAGTCACAGCCTCATCCCAAAATCCGGCTCAGATTACTCCACCTATATTCTTTGGCGTCTACCCTTTTACTGTTGTGTACCACCAATGCGGAAGAGGCTCGATCTTCTTACCGATCCACCATCGATGAAATCCCCGTCTATGAATCAATATCGATGGAATTGCCAGATGTCAATATCTCATACGCATTGACAGATGATCCGACTACTACGTCAGCTATTTCGTTAGCCATTGTATTTGACTCTACAGGATCAATGGGAAATGATTTGAAACAGGTAAAAATCGGAGCCCGACGAATTCTACAGCGACACATGCAACGTGGAGAAGCGAACTACATCAAGGATTTTGTTCTGGTCAAGGTACACGATCCCGGTAAGTGTGGTGGGTCTGGCATATGTAAACTGTTTACAGAAGTTTCTGCCGGGTTTTCTTGCGTCGCGTACGCAGTTCACAAGAGAATGAGAACTAACCAATGAACAAAGGTCTAGTAACATATCCTGTTGTGATTGGTAGACTTTGCGGAAGTTCACTGAGATTAGTGCTAGAAGTCAATAGCTCATGCTCATGGAGAAAAATTTTGGTAGCCCAGTTAGGCTAGATGGTCGTTGGCTTGTTCGCTGAGCTGGGCAATTTGGTTGCAAACGTTTCATCACCAATCGAGGTGACCTTATGAGTGCGTTATTGGGGGGCATAGTTGTGCGTAGCGGTTGGTTAGTGGTTGTGCGTTGAGTAGTGTTACGTGTGTGTTAATATACGTGTTGTTAGCCGGGGATGACCTTTGACCGCGATTAGTTGTTCGGTCGGGCGGTTCCATTGGTTGCACTGTTAGCCCATGTCCTTATTCGCCGATGCCTACGCGACTTTTGAGCTTCACCGTCGTCATCTGGTCGATGTTGGAGTGACTTTTTTCCTTTTGAGTTCTGGCTTGTGACTTTTATCGATTTGACTCCGAGGAGTTCCTTGTTCCTTTGTTTGTGAATCCAATATTCGGTCCTACTCCCCCGCTTACGGGAGACATTGGAGACTGAATTTCCTCACACTGCGAATACTGAATTGCCTCGATGTAAGAAGCCTCGGTATGAGAAAAGCTTCAAAGTGAACAGTTTTGACTGTACAACAGAAGAGAAAAAGTCGAAATAAATATAGCTACTTGGTTCGGTCCTACTCCCCCGCTTACGGGAGACGTTGCGAATATAGCAACACCCTTGGATATTCTGAATTTCCTCACACTACGAATACTGAATTGCCTCGATGTAAGGAGCCTCTGTATGAGGAAGACTTCAAAGTGAACAGTTTTGACTGCACAAAAGAAGAGAAAAATGACGAAATAAATATAGCTACTTGAACTTTATTGCAGTGTGGGTTCTCAGGGTCAGATAAATTGTTCAGCCATAAAAAATTAAACAACAGATAGAATCAAAACAACCACCGTTCGAATGGGTGACCAACTTTATTGCAGTGTGGGTTCTCAGGGTCAGGTAAATTGGTCAGCCATAAAAAATTAAACAACAGATGGAATCAAAACAACCACCGTTCGAATGAGTGACCAGTTTCATCGGTGACCTTGACCTCACACAAAACGGAATGAGGCGTCGTCAAGATCATCCGAGAAGACAAGACAACAATTTGCTCACTGTTAGATATGACAATTACATCAAAAGGTTATGAATCAAAAGATCAACAACTTTTGACCGAAAAGCCATCGGAATGAGGCGTCGTCAAGATCATCCGAGAGGACAAGACAACAATTGGTTCACTGCTAAATATGACAACCAATTCAAAAGGTTATGAATCAAATGATCAACTTCTTATCTAAAAGCCACTGAACTCCATAAAGATGGATGTTCAGTTTACTACATGTTCATCACAAATTGAAAACGTACTTGGGTTCTCCTTGTACTTGGGCTCTCCTGGAAGAGAGCAAATATGCTCCTTACAATTCTTGTCATATCGACGGCCCTGCAGCAAGAAGGCAGCACTTTGGTGTCCGCTTTTAATCCGTCAACCCGAGGAAATCACTTTTGAGTTTTGGAGGAAGACATCCTTATAAAATGACATCTCCAAGACTGGGAGATCAGTCTCTCTGATTGGATATTGCATTTGGATGTGAGAAGAGATTGTTAAAAGGGCGCTTGGCAAAGTTTCTCGGACCAAGCTGAAGGATAGTATACATTAAGTGCATCAAAACAGGCACCTGACTGATGCAATCTGGGAGCCAGTGATCACGGTTCAGTCCGAGCTTCACTTCAGTCCCAGCTTCCAATCCGGCTCCTGTAGTTTGGTTTACACGATTTGTCTTATCAGACTACACGAACAGTATGACAGGCAATGTTTAAAAAAGGCTAAGTCAAACACAGTCTATTAAAGTATGCTGACAAAAACGAGTAAATTGCAACTGAACATGCAGAAATGGAACAGCACTCGGGAAATTCAACATAACGATTAGGTGTCCTTATACGGTAACAAGAAAGCGTCTGTTCGTTGGAGTAGAGGGATAGACAGATCGATGAGGTTCTGGGGAGCTTGAGGATGATGATATAATGAGTTGGATGGTGAACACATCCACGAGGCTGGTTTGCGAGTGTGAGACGGTGTTTGATACAGACGAATCGAGGGACCAAAGCCAGCAGACTCAGTTGATAATCTCATAACGACATCACACCGAGGCTGCAATGGTCCGCGGAAACTGTAAGATGGACAAAGTCATAAGGGTATGAAAGAAGGCCTTCGGATGTCATCCGGTCTGAAGGGGGAAACAAGCCACTTTATCTATCATCCTAAAAGCACCTCCCCAGGAGACTATTTTCGCAGGTTATCAGCCACAATTTCCCCTAGTGGAGTTGCACAATCTACGGAAGCCAACTGGTAACTGCTAAACAGTGCCATTGGTTGTGGTGTCTTGTACATTCCCAATGAGGTCATCCTTCTCCAAACGTATGATGCAGCTCACAAAGAGATTGGAAGAAGAGTGGACACCGAGCCCAGTGATATTGGTTGTGGGGACACCTATTAGTGCACCCAGGTTTCTAAGGGGTCTTTGGTGGCCGTTTAGGTAGAGGTATTGCAGAGTGGTATCGTACTTGGTCAACGGGTGAAAGGGTCAGTGCTCATGAGTATATGGGAAGAACCATTGAACTGAAGAAGGCGGACAACCGAACCAACAATAGCCTGTCTAAATCGAGAATCAGCAAATGCTAAAAGCTCAAAATTAATGATAGTTTGTCCCTGAACGAATGCTGATCGGGTTCTGTGCACGAATGAATTGCCGTGCGCATCTTCGGTCAAATTTAGCCCAGCACTGATTAGTTTCGTTCTTGTTCATACAGCAAGATAAGAATGGAAACAAGAGTGGCCGGAAAGATATCCACAAATTAAGAGAAGTGTGGACATGTGTATGCAGGAGTCACCTGCCTTCTACTCGACAGTGGGTCGCAAAGAGCTCACCACCATCCGTAACAATCAGATTTAAGGGCTAGTTGCCACTGTTCACCGCGGTATGTTTGCTGGAGAACAGCGCCAACGACAGCTCGAGAGATATCGGTCCATTTTCTAAACTGAACAACCGGTTCAGGACCGAAGTGTGCCACTATTGTAGTTACGTCGAGGAGGGTTGAAGGCAGTGACAGACGCTTGCAACAGGCCAGTCAGGTGAATTCACACATGACGGCTAAAGCACGTGGGAGAAGCGAGTTAGCTACACTAGACCTTTAAGCTGTTTGCTATTTAAATGGCTGCACTTCAGCCTTATTGTGTGTAGTAACCTGGAGCCAGGATTCACGTTGGGTACAACGGCCAAGTTACGCTTTTATATGGACATACGAAGTAAATAAAACGTAGCGCCATCTGTCCAATTAAAAGTATGGAAGCATAAAATAGAAGTAGTCGTGCAGCCCCTGGTTTTTGTATTCAGTTGCTTTTGTATGTCTTTAATGTTCATGCAACCACTGTGTCCAACACGTCATTAACTCTGAATTATTTGGATTCTACAAATCACTCTAATATGGTGAACCAATCGTTCAAGGGATCCTGGAACAGGTGTTTGGAGTTAACGCTTCCGACTTGTGTAGCGTGAAGATGTCCAAAAGTCATTTTGTTTTCTTTGGAAAAAACCTTGTCATAAGGAGGGATCCGAACATAGCGGATGAGTGCTCAGGACAGCTCTGAGTACACTTGCATCTGGGGGAAGCTACGGGACAGAGATTAAGCTTTAGGGACAGCACTCATGAAAAAACTATCTACGGAAGGTTTACAACCGTAGCTACCAATGCGTCTAGGAATAACTGGTGTATCCAGGGTTGTTTACTCCATCAATCGGTAAGTTCTGAACGTAAACGATAGTGCTTTTTTAAGTTATCGCGAACCTCATTGATCGACCACAATAAAGCGCAAAAATTCCCACGAACAGACTGTTGTTAATTTATGTTTCAATGTTAAATCTCCAATCTTGCAGGTTAGCTTCATTTCTGCATCCTTCATTCACAAACTGAACTAGTAGAGGTGTACGAATATAGAGTGTATGGCGTCTCCCTATCCATGTTCACCAAGAAGTCTACTTTCGCTACTGAAAAGAATGTCAGTGGGTCAGGTAGCATAAGTGGTTGTTGGTTTGTTCGCTGAGTTGGGAAATCTGATCACAAAAGTTACGTCATCAAGCGAGGTAAGATCATCAGTGCCTTGTTGTGGTGCGAAGTAAATCAGCTTTGGGTAGGTGGTTGTGCTATGCAATCGAAATGGCCTAGCTCAGCGAACAAACCGACAGCCAATATAAGGCTACCTTTATTTGAAATTCCACTTCAAGCCGGCTTCTTATCAGTTATCCGGCTTGTGTGAAAGTGAACAAAGCCAAACAAAATGGAAATTGAGTTTGTTGGAATGGCTCTGTCATCTGGATTACGTAATGTTCTTAATAACGCTTTCTTATCAACGCCACAGCTCATCTCAGAGTGAATTTCATTGGTGATCTATAATGGGTCGATACAACTTAGTTAAACTGGAACGGGCAGTAATGTGACATTAATTCGGTGATTGTTGCTGAATCCGTTTTGGCTAGTTCGCTGGCTGAGCACTCATATTGTTACTTACGACTCAGACAAAGTGGTCACTATGTGGGTAACCAAAGCTAGCATTGTTTATATCGTCCGCTCTAGGCTCGAACGTGTTCTTGTGTTCGGGGTGATTCATGCAAAAGAGGCTCTATAATGATAAGGTCAGCAGAAACGAAACTCGCTCCTTCCTAGAGATATTCCCCCTGTAAGCGTCCTCTCTAAACTAACAAGTGAATTCGGTTTACTTGGTTTTCTGATCGCGTGCTGGCTTTCTTCAGAGAAAGATCGCAAAATATCCCAAACAAAGTGGACCTCACAAAGCCCGAC